CGAGTATATTTGGGAAATCCCTCAAGGTTTCAAGGATAATCGTAACAATTGGTGTCAGAAGTGGGATTGTTAAATAAATCCCGAAGGATAAACTACTGAAAATGGCGAAAATTCAGGACTTAAAGATTGAGGAACTGAAACAGGAGTTGGAAAAGCGTAATTTGGCCACCTCCGGAAGAAAAGTGGAATTATTATCCCGTTTGCGGGAGGCTATGGAAGCTGAAGGCATCGACGTGGACAAATACGACTTCCAGGGTAAATCCGACGATGCATCCGCAAAGGACGAACAGAAGGATGAGGCTGCCTGTTCGTCGAAGGATGTGCAGCAGACATCCGGGAAGGTTGAAGAACAGCAAAAGTCTCCAAGTTCATCAACAGCTATGGACATGAACACGTTATTGGCTGCCATGTCACAGATGTCATCTCAGATGCAAACACAGTTGTCAGATATTTCGTCGCAGCTACAGGCACAGAAGACACACGTATCACAGTTGCTGGAAGTCCAGGATGCAAAGATTACACAACGGCAGGAGAATTTGGCTAGAGATAACGAACAAATCAAGGATAGACTGGATAAAGTCGAGGCTAAGGTAGAAGAGTTGGAAGGTCGCCTCCGAGATATGCAGTTGAATCGCCCACCTTCTTCGACCAGCGCGCCCAAGGTAAAGACTCCATCCTTTGACGGCACGATTCCTTTCCAAGTCTTTAAGCTCCAGTTTGAGAAGACAGCTACAGCAAATCACTGGAGCATGGAGGATAAATCCGCTGCACTGTTCGTTGCATTAAAAGGACCTGCAGCGGAAATCTTGCAGACTATTCCTGATTGTGAAAGGAACAGTTACGATGCGTTAATGGGTGCAGTGGAAAGACGTTATGGTAGCGAGCACAGGAGACAGATTTACCAGATGGAGCTGGAAAATCGCTGCCAGAAATCCAACGAGACTCTACAGGAATTCGCCTCCGAGGTTGAAAGGTTGGCTCATTTGGCAATTGGAGATGCATCTGGTGAGCACCTCGAAAGAGTAAAAATCCAGAGGTTCATCAACGGAATGCGGGACGTGTATACCAAGCGCGAGACGTATGCAAATCCAAAGCCAACATTTGCTGAAACGGTCTCGTATGCTCAGACGCGTGAAACGGCAGCGCTCCTAAGTAAACCAGTCTACAAAGCCCATCGAGTAGAAGTGGAAACACCTGACGTGATGAACGAGATCCTGAAAACACTCAAGTCGATGGCAGGGAAGAAAATTCCTGGTGCAACCGAGAGAAAGGATGGTGCTAGGAAATGCTTTAATTGCGGAAAACCAGGCCACTTCGCCCGCGATTGCAGCGCAAGTTCCAGTAGGCTCAACCATTCAGCAGGACGCAAACGCAGGGCTGAGGGAGACGAATCCAACTCAAATCAGTCGTTAAACTAAAACGTGCCAGCAGGAAGGGCCGCGTGCTGGCTCCAGAAGTTGAAGGGCCCATAATCTCCGTCTCACAAATTGGCCGGAATGCGAGCAACCTCACTATTGGTGGATGCGTGAATGGGCAGGAGCGAGTGCTGACAGTGGATACTGGAGCGTCACATTCCATTATTCGACCTGATGTGACTACTTTTTATGTGAAGCCACTACCTGGAGCAAAGCTGCAGACTGCAACTGGTGAGCGAACCCAAGTGTTAGGAGAAGTACTATGCGAGGTAATAATCGACGGGTTGGCCTCGTACACGAAGTTTATTGTCGCAGACATCGTGGATGAAGTCATCATCGGCGTGGATTTCCTACTTGGGCAAGGCATGAAGATTGACCTCCAGGGAATGATCCTAACCTATGGCGACAGGAAAGTGCCACTTAGGGTTGGTTACGACAACCAGTGCTTCAGCAGACGGTTGGTCTTAGAGGAAGTGCCGAAGATTCCACCAGAAACAGAAGCGGTTAGTTGGGCGGAGGTTGGCAGTGATGGAGACGGAGTGGTTTTATCAGGAGAAGGAAGCGGTTCACTGATACAGGAAAAGCGTGACGGTTCCGATAGCTCAGTGAAGAAGAGGTCGCAACAAGGAAGTGGTCATGGCGAGCCAGGCAGTGTTTCCGGCAGGAGGAAAGCCACTGAACCACGTTGCAATGGTGATACGCCGGTGGCCGGAAATGGAAGCGGCTGTGGTAGCAGTAGGCGCGGTTTGAAGTGTCCTGAAAAAGGTGGTCGGCAAAAGCGAGCAGTTAAGCCGGAAGCCAAGGTTGAGATTATACATGTCCGGTCAATGAAGCTAGCAGCTGCGGACGACGACGGGAGTCAGGGTGTCAGGGACAGATGACGCGGGATAGATCCGAAAAGGGTGCCCACGAAAAGGGACATGGTCTGGTCACCACCAGTGGCCGGCAGAAGCACGACCATGTGAGATGGTGCACTCCCGGAGATAAGCCGGAAGCAATGTCCAGTAACGCATTGTTGTTGCACATGCCGCAGCCGAAGAAAAGCTTTACCTCCAAGCAAGGACTTGACTGGAAAGATCCGTTGAAGATTGACAAACGGCTGAAGGACGCAGTGCATCAAATCCAGACAGCTGGTAGACCGAGGACCAAGATGAAAGTGGTCCACTTGGAAAGACTTGCAGCGGTTGGAGCGGCAAGTGTGTCTGATCGGGACGATCAGACTTAGGTGGAGGGCAGTGTGGCGAATACTGCGGCAACACAAAGCGAACAACGAGAAATAGGCAGAATGTTCGAAGAATGACGTAGAATGTTCCACAAAGAGAAACGTCAAGTTGGATGAACACTGCGAACAGCGAGAAAAAGAGAATGAGCGATAAACTTCAGAACGTTCTAGAGTTGCCATAAGTGTGAGCGCAGGTATATAAGAGCCACGACACAGCGGAGTGGAGTCAGTTACAAGTCAGCAAGCTACAAGTAAAGTTAGCGGAGAATCGAGTTGCGAATAAGCAAGCTATAAGTTTAATTGTGTTAACAAGTAGTAAAGCGTTGTTATTGCTTTAACAAGTATTGTAAAGTGTTTTTACTGTATTAGCAAGTATTGTAAATTGTTTGTTGTACAATAAAGTTAATTGTACTACAATTCGGTCATCGTTAGCCTTTATTTAACAATCCAGCGATACGAGCCCGAGTATATTTGGGAAATCCCTCAAGGTTTCAAGGATAATCGTAACAGTATTTATATTTTGTGCGGCGAACAGTAAAGCTGAAATTAGTCGAGAACGAAAAACGTATACTTAGGGCCGTTTGCACCATGTCTAGTTAACGCTAACTGGAGGTACATCCTTCAGTTAAGCACGTTTACTGCTTTATCGATCACATGTTATATGATGTGTGTCGATAACGTCGATAAAGATGTTTAACTGGGAGTTAGAATTAACTAGACATGGTGCAAACGGCCCTTAAAAGCAGTCTGTAGACGCAGAATTTTGTCGATTACTGGAGCCCTCAGTGTTCCTTACTACACTGTTGCCACTCTTCAATGCCTTTTCATAAACTTACCCTTTCAACTACAATATTTCGTGCTATAATAGATTATAGCTAAATATAAACTACTTAGTTTTCAACAAAAACCTTATTCAATAGTAAATTTCAAATATTTTAAACATATTTTGAATAGGAACTTATAACTTTTTTACCATCTGCAAAACTGACGAAGTGGCAACCATCTAAAGAAGGAGAAATCAGCTGACACGGAAAAATCTAAATTCCGCAGATTTCTACGCTACGGGCTACAACTACAGAAAAATTCTGCGGTGTTGTTTTCATTTACATGGCGCTTTGGTAAGACAGATCGAGTCAGCTGATTCGAGTTTACGTACCGGTAGGTTTACGTTCTTGACTAATTTAAGCTTAACCCATAACAAGGTGCAATCCCGTATTCCTCGGACTCGGACTATTAAAACTGTCAAAAAATAAAAATTCGCTCAGAGCGAGATAGTAACATTGAAAAGCACGGGATCGCTTTCTAGTAAAAAATGGTAACTTCTGTCAACTTCGACATAACCTCCAAATTTTGGTTGTAAATTTTTGCTTGTTTTGTATGTAAACACACTCAGCTCACACATGCAAATAACCAAATACTTTAAAATTCATTAGAATCCACTTAAACTAGTAACTAAATACTTTGCAACATGAATTAGCAGAGTGCACTTTTCCTTTGTTTACAATTTGGTTGCCAAACACACTACAGCTGATCGTTTGACACATTTACCAGAAGTTACCAGCGAAAAATTCTCGGACTAAAACTGGTAACTTCTGACAGAGAGAGAACCGTATTTCTCTCTTTTTTGTCCTCTCAATAGGCAGAGAACCGAGTACGGGATCGATTTCCAGTAAAAGCTGACTGATTCTGACTAGTCCGGACTCGTACGGGATCGCAACTATTGAATCATGCTTGCCAGTTAGGGAACGCAAATATAGCTGTGTTTTCGTATTCTCCAGCAAAAAATATGCAGTAACTTGCCAGTAACCAAACTTCGGAGAGTAAGTCAATATTTACTCCCAATGAGTGAAATATGCAAGAAAGTACGAAAACGCAAAACAAGCAAGAAGTTGCTAGTTTTATGAACAGCTGATTTATTTGTTATTTTCCTAGGCAATTTTCTTAGAAAACTAGTATTTTCCATCTTATTATATATTTAGATGGGTTTATTTTGTCAATTGCAACTATAAAAGCACCACAAACAATTATTTTGTTAATGTGAATTACATTAAGCATCATGCCATCAGCTGTTTTTCTTACTAGCAAATAGTTGCTAGTAAAAATTTATCCAGTAAAAATCCAGTAAAACTTGCAAGTTCAGCTGTCATTTTTGCTCTCTCAATTTCCCCTCTTTTGCTAGTTTCTTGCAAGTTTTTGCGTACGAAAACGACATTCAGTAAAAAACCGGTTAAATTAGTACTGGATTTCTGGATAGTGCGTACGCGAACAGGGCTTATTGAATCATGCTCACTGACCTTAAACTTCAGTAGTTGTGGCTCTGGTAAAACGTCAATATTTTGGATTTGTTGATGAGAAATTAGAAAATTATTGGTAATTTAATTGTATATTAAACAAGGAGATCCTTGCTTTCAACTTTAAAAGTTCATTAACGCAAATAGAACTTTTGTTTGTAAACAATGCCGAAAATTGAGAAAGTGAAAGTACACGTCAAGGAGCGGGTGGACGACAATGTTTGTGATTTGAGCTTGAGTGGTATTAGCGAGATTCCAGTGCGTGAAATTGTAAGTAATTTGAAAGTTGAATTCGCAAGTTTTCCCTGCAATGCACTTCCCTACGTAAATACCACTTTGGATGTTTGTTGGAGTTATATCTCAAAAAATCGATGAAAGTTTCACTTTTTATTATCCCCAAACCTTCCCTTTCCTATGTGCATACATGAAAATGTATGTATGATTGTAGAAGATTGGGTATACATATATGTACATGAAGTTATATCCACCCTCGTCGTAGTGAATTATTTTCCACCCAAATTAGGGGTGCGTTCAAAGTGGTTTTGCTTCTAGCACACCAGTAGTTGGTCTCGTTGAAATCCATGTGCGACACTTTCTTGAATATGATAAAAAAAAAAGTGTAATAACTTTCCTACTCTTTGTTTTTAGGCTTCCTTTAAACGAGTTAGTGTGCTGGATCTATCAAGTAACTGTATCACCTCTTTGGGAGTAAGTTGATTAAAAAATTGAATGCATTTGTCAATTTAATTGCTATAAATTGAAATATATTCAGGGAGGTTCTGCAATTCACTTCCAAGTGAATTTCAATCAAATTAGCCTTGAATTGAAATTTGCGGTTGAAATTCACTCAGAAGTAGGAATGTTCGATATTTAAGAAAGTATCGATATGAATCCATTGCACGTAAAATCGATATGGCGATATATCAGGCTGAACAATATCGATATCGGAAAAATCGATGTTGAAAATCCTGCTCCCAATTGAATAGAATATTAGACCTCCCTGTCAACTCACCTAATTGTGTTATTTCCATCTTGTATATTTACTGAGGATTAAAACGGCATGCCGGTCGACTCAAAAAACTTGGGGAAAAAAGCGTTTTACCACACTAAAAGTACAAAATGGGTTTGAATCAATGGATGCTTTTTTCATAACAGTTTGTATGTAGTTAACAAAAAAAAATTAACAATATTTACAAGAATGCATACATAAATCACAAAACTTTTTGGCTCATAACGATTGAAGGCCACATGCTATAATGACTCACGACGTAATACCGAAGTACTGCACATTAAAACTGATATATCTCATGCCTTAAGTAGAAATGAGCAAAAAAAAATTTATGTTTTCATTACATAACCTCAAATATCGCCGAAAACCGTGATTTCGGGACTTTGAGGTTAGGATATCTCAATTAAAAATTATTTCAGGTTTTAACTATATCGGAGTAATCTTAGATCAGAAAAAACCACTAAAAACGCACTAGGCAATAAATAGTATTTTTTTTTGCGTTTTAATTTTCAAAAATCACTAAATCTAGTGCTTAAAGCACTAAGTTGGCAACTATGCTCAGAAGTGAATTGCAGAACCTGCCTGATATAATATATACAGTGACGAGCAAAACTGTAACATGGTGTAACACCTTTTAATTCACCCACCGCTGTTTCCAAGTTCTGACGACTTTCACCCTTTTGTTGTACATTCTTGTTGGTACATACTCCCTCTCTCATTACGATTTGAAGTCAATACAACAACAATAAAAACCCAGCAGACAAAAATGTAAATTAAGCCAAATGTTACAGTTTTGCACTCACTCTCAGTTTTGCATTTTACAGTTATTTTTTACTTAGTTGGAAGTCAGATGACTTTTTTCTGTATTGTAATTTATTGAAGAAGTAATGGTAATTCTCTAGGGTGGGGTAACATCCCCTAAAAAAGGTGCGGAAAAGGAAAAAGAAAAAGGGAGATAATATTATTAACCATTTAAAAGTTATGAACAAAAAACTTTTGTTAAATTTCGTTGTTTTCGATGGGCAATTACACCGACAAAGATTCACTAAATCACCTGTTCACTCTTTTTAAACACTATTAAAATATACAATTTAACTTATTTACTAAAGAAACACATAGTTTTATCAACCTAAGATAGATTATTTTGTTATTAAAAAGAAGTTGACAATCTTTGCCAGCTGAAACGCGAGATTCCAAAATAGCTAAAGTGCTGCCACTGTATTAGTATTTCGTAATAATTCACTTTTCCTTATGAGATGTGTGCACTGTGCAATGCTTTTCGGTATCTTATTTCGTTTAATATATATATAAATAATGAATATTTTTAATAAAAAATCGCTCGATTTTTTATTAAAAATTTTCGCCTGCGGCGCTTTTTCCATAAAAATTAATACTTCGATAAATAATGAAAATTTTTAATAAAAAATCGCGCGATGGTATAGCGAAATTTGCTATTATTTTGGTTACAATATCTTATTTAGATGAAAGTAAAAAGAAGAAGAAGAAGTGTATAGTGTAAACTGAGTATAATAGCGCAAATGAAATGTGAAATAAAGTGGCAATACCAGCGATTTGAGGTTATAATAATTTTAGCAGGCGCAAAGTTTGTTTACTCTGTTTTATTAACGAAATGTATAAAATAAAAGTGAATAAATGATTTGGTTTGCATAAAATAATAACCGGAAACGTTTTAGTAGTGTTTTAAAAGTGGAAACTGGTGATTTAGTGCATTTTTGACGTGGTAATTGCTCATAGAAAACAACGAAATTTAACAAAAGTTTTTTGTTCGTAACTTTTAAATGGTTAATAATATTATCTCGCCCCCTCCGGATTGTTATTAGGGGGGCCGAAACGCGTCGTTTGGTACCCATCCCGACTTTTCCGCACCTTTTTTAGGGGTTGTTACCCCACCCTAGAGAATTACCACAAACATTTATAAATAAAAGCTCTGTGTACACTTTTAGCGCATAATTTCAAAAATGTCAAATTTTGAGTTGTGACTCTTTTGAAGACGGTGTGCGATATGTATGTTCATAGATAAATAGTAAATGTATAAAATGACCTTAAAAAAAAACCCAAACAAGTTCTAATTTCTATGTAACTATTTGAATGAATATTACTGGTCGAACATTTTACCTCTGACGAAGTTTCGCGAAGACAATTAAATTTCAAGTCAGATCTTGTGTCCTAAAAAATAAACTATGAATATGTTTTCCTTTTCATTAAAGTTTAGGCTGATATAATCTTCATGGAAATATTTAAAATTGTGACAGGCAGTAATTAAGTATGATGTAAACACAAATGTTAGAGCTTTTTATTTGTTAAATGTTTTTAAACAGATTAGTGAAAAGTAGTTATCTAGCAAGAGGTTACTACTAAAATAGGTACGTTCCCACTACAGTTCTACGTAACCGGAACGACCCAGATTCATATCTCGCCAAGGACTGTCACTCCAGCATCACTCCCAAAAACTCTTTGGTAATTTTTATGCTGTTACAACAAAAAAAAACTAAAATAGGTATAATTAAGGCATATTAATATTTATGACGTTTTCCGCTTTTACAAGGAATGACCTTGATTTTAAAACTGCAATTTTTTTCAGGAATCATGACATATTTATTATTATAAATTATAATTATTTATTTTTAGAAAAGTTTCCTTACGCTCACACGGCTCGTCAAACTCGATCTTAGCAAAAATCAAATCCGGTATTTACCAGAAGAGTTTGGTTTGCTTCGTAATTTGCGTCATTTGGACTTGTATGACAATAAGTTGGAGCATCTACCTCTAAGTTTTGGTTATTTAACAAACTTGCGATACTTGGATTTGAAAGGAAACCCCTTAACACCCGCTCTGGCAAAAGTAGTTGGGTTTTGTCTCACTACGAAAGAATGCCAGGATTCAGCCAAAAACACTGTTAGCCCTTAGACTTGTGTATGCACAGTTATTAATTTATTATATTTTCTAGGTGAAATTCTTGGGTCGAATGCAAGCTGAAGCTGAAAAGGCTAAACAACAATTTCAACTTCAGGCGCTAAACACTACTGGGGCTTTTAGTGATTACATTAGCACCGAAGAAAAACCACTTGAAAATCAAAAATCAAAAAAGTCAGCTAAGAAAGCTAAATCCAAGTCAAAAAAATCCACCGCCAACAACAATAATAATGATATAAGCCATGAAGTAAACATTGCACCAGTAAACGTTAATAATAAGACAACCAAGTCAAGAAAGAATGCAAATGGGCCAACGAAAAAGTCCATCTCAAAATCCAGCACAGCACTTACCACAGTTTTCACGTTTTTCATGCTACT